GAATGCCAATTTTGAGTGAAATGAGGACTGCGAAAGAAGTTTTTCAGAATTAAAGAAACGGCTGACCACTGCACCTGTGCTGGCTTTACCGAGTGGATAGGGGGGATATACAGTTTATAGTGATGCCTCCTATCTGGGCCTGGGTTGTGTCCTGATGCAACATGGAAAGGTTATAGCATACGGGTCCAAACAGTTAAAGAATCATGAGAAGAACTATCCCACCCATGATTTGAAGCTTGCCGCAATCATCCATGCCTTGAAAACCTGACGCCATTATCTGTACGGAGAGACCTTTCAGATCTATACCGATCACAAGAGTTTGAAACACATATTCACTCAGAAGGATCTCAACATGCGTCAGAGAAGGTTGATGGAACTCCTTAAGGACTATGATTGTGACATCTTATATCATCCAGGTAAGGGCAACGTGGTAGCAGATGCCCTCAGCAGGAAAAGTGCAGGTATCTTAGCCCATTTGGTGGTTTCAGAATGCAGACCAATTGGGGCCACGCAACAGGTTCGACTTCATGATCTGAAGAGAGTCACATGTTTAGGCCGGCTGACAGTCCAGGCCGAGTTAATCCAGAGAATACGGGAGGCCCAGACAGTTGACCCCGCCCTGGTAGCCCGCAAGAAGGATGCAGAACAGGAAGGGAGCTCAGAATTCTGAATCTCTGCCGATGGATTACTTCGTTTCCAAGATAGGGTGTGTGTCCCACATGACAGTGAGTTAAAAGAGACATCATGACGAAGTCCCATAACTTGAAGTTTGTCATGCATCCAGGAAGCACCAAAATATACCAAAGCATGCGACCCCGATTTTGGTGGCATGGGATGAAGAGAGACATAGCCAACTTTGTATCTAAATGCTTTGTATGTTAGCAGGTCAAGGCAGAGCATCAGCGCCCAAGTGAGTTATTTCAGCCTTTACCAATCCCGGAGTGGAAGTGGGAACATATCACCATGAACTTCGTATCGGGGCTACCCAATGCACGTTTAGGACATGATGTCATATGGGTAATCGTTGACTGACTTACCAAGTCTTCCCATTTCCTAGCCATCAGGATGACCGATTCATTGGACAAGTTGGCAAGGATGTATATCCGGGAGATAGTCATATTGTATGGGGTTCCAGTGACAGTAGCATCTGACAGGGATCCCAGGTTCACTTCTCGGTTTTGGAGTAGCTTCCAGCAAGTTATGGGAACAAAGCTGTCTCTTAGTACTGTCTTCCATCCCCAGACTGATGGACAATCATAGAGGACAATTCGTACGCTTGAAGATATGCTCCGAGCTTGTGTCCTGGACTCTGGGGGCCATTGGGACGACCATCTACCCCTGATAGAGTTTACCTACAACAACAGCTATCCAGCTAGCATCAGCATGGCTCCATATGAGGCGTTATATAGGCGCCCGTGCAGATCACCGATTTGTTGGGAGGAAGTGGGTGATAAAAGATTGTTCGGCCCGGAGTTGGTAGAGGAGACCACGTCCAAAATAGTTAAAATCAGAAAGAACATTCAGACAGCTCAGAGTAGGCAGAAGAGTTATGCAGATATCCGGAGGAGAGACCTAGCGTTTGAGAAAGGTGACCGGGTGTTTCTTAAGGTCACTCCTTTAAAGGAAATTAGTAGGTTCGGCAGGAGGGGAAAATTAAACCCCCGATATATTGGACCCTTTGAAATCTTAGACAGGATTGGTACTGCTGCCTACAGACTAGCACTACCTCCAAAGCTCTCCAGAGTAGCGGAGCCGCCGTGCCAGAATTCTGATATTGGCCGAAAGGGGCCCTAGGTCTGATTTGGAATTTTTTGGGACACGTGCAGGTACCGGTAGTGCGTTTCAATTTTTTCAGGAAAAAATTCAGGAAAATTAGAGACAACCTGTAGGCGCACTGTAGAGTCGAATTCAGACCCCAAAACAAATAAGGACCTCTCACCCTATTTCCTATCACGGTATTAAAGCTAAATAAATAATTAAACTGTACTGTGTGACTTTATAGATGTATAATTGATTTAGGTTACCAATGGGGCCCGAGTATGATACAATGTTGGTCTGTTATTGTTTGGTCTAATTTCGAGTATTAAATGCAGCATGATGTTTGATGTAATTATGGTATGGTCTCGTATGCTTGAACTATGGTTTCTTTTATTATAGTTTGTATTATGGTGAATCTGGTACTGTATTGTCTTATTTGGTGTCAATTACTAGTTTACATGTTGTGTATGATTAGATGATTGAGATTAAGGAAAAAGGCAAAAAGGTTATCTGAATTGATAAGTGAAAAATGTGGACAGCCTGACTAGATATCCTAGGAGATGGTGGACGGACCGGATCCGTAGGGAACCCTACCGGGAACGTGGTCTCTCATACCGGACGGGGTATGGAGACCTTATGTGTTTTGGCGCCCATACCGGACGGGGTATGGGGACGGCCCTGGAATCAGGTTGTAAATGTTAATGATTCACGTGTACCTAGAACCCCCTATGGATCCCCAGAGATACTAGTAGGCTGGTAAAAGAGGAAATTTGTTTTCTGATGATTGAAATGTAAAGGTATGATATATGTTATGTTATAAAGTGTGTATGATTTCATGATATTATAAGGTTATTGTTTTCATATGTTGTTTTCATGGATCTCACTGAGGTAAGTGAACAGTAAAAGTTTTTATGTTAATAAACGAGTTCGTTATAAATTATGCTCCATTGGTCATTTTTGTTTTCTACCCACCTTTACTTCCATAGCAGTGAGATAGTGTGATGTCTTTACTGGGCTGGTGTAGCTCATTCCTTATTTATTCATTTCAGATCAGAAAAACGTTGTTCCCGAGCCCGTTCCGCAAGAAGACGGCGAAAGAGACGCCTAAAGACTTCATAGTTATATTTATAGTTCTTATTTTGAGTATCTCTTTTAGTTAGTTTGTTCTTTCACGTTTTGAGTACGTTTTAGTTATTATGTAAGGGATGTTAATCAAATTTTTATTACACTTCCGCATTTGAGATTTTTAATATATATATTTCATTTAAATTTCTGGGGCCGTTACATCTACTAAATAATTTCTTGTATTTCTCATAAATTTATCTATATATAAGACCATATATATGTTGGCAACTATGAGAGTAAAAATTCGTCCTCTTTATATTCAATTTAAGAACGTGCAAAATTGTATGAAATAACTATCAAGAGTATTTATGAAGTAATATCATAGTGGTTAAACACCGTGAATTTGTTAAATGTCTTGCTAAGGGGCTAGTATCTGTAAATTGTAACATTAAGGATACAACATTCTATTGTGCTTAATCGAGAATCTAATTATTGAATTGAGTATGATTAAAGGTTTTTGGTAATTATATGTTCACTATCATTAACATTTTTACTACATGGTATGTCATGTTATTAATCATGTTATTTTAACTCTTTTTCTTTTTACAGTCTCTCCTACATTTAGCGAAAAACTCCCTACCTAGCTAAACTGAATCGGGTAAGATGGGAATGGCTAAGCCCACATGCACTATTTGATGAAAGCACTCCAATTTATTCGCCACCTCAACTGAGTATTTTTATTCATTATTTTAGATATTTTTAATAAAAAAATAAACTCAATACTAAATAATACGAAGAAGATAAAATTGTTTCAAACACCAACAAAACCAAAAGCATCCATTGCTTTAAAGAGAGGAAGTCAAGTTATTCTTCCATTTTACTTGTCGGAGTTTTAATAACATTTACACATACTATAAGAATCATAACTAAATCATCATTCACAAAATAATAATAATAATAATATTGAGGTAAAAGTTCTTATTATTTTAAAGACATTACATTGGTAATTTTAAAGACATTATATCATGATGGATTTGTATAAATATCAATTTTATTGACTGTATAATTAGTAAAAGTTCTTGATTAAGTGCAATTGACTACATTGTGTATTTGATTGATCACAATTATATATAATAAAACATTGAAATTATATTCTATGAATATGATATCTATCTAATATGATGTATGAAATATATGACAAATGTGAAATATTGAAATATTTCTATTGATTGGTCATGTCATATAAATTCGAGTTGGACATCCAATTGCTTCAATTTGAATTATCCGAATGATATCTTATATATATTAATTATCGAAAAGACGAATAATCAAATATATTTCTCGATTCAATAAAAGTTTAAAAGAATGAATAAAGACTTAAATAACGAGAAATATGTAAAAAATATGTTCGATTACGTTTATTCTTAATCCTAAATAAAATGTAACAATGTAAGATTCATATGTAAATATAATATTTATTTAGATGCACTCGAATGACTCTTTCTTATAATAACAATATATATAATCTTATTTCGATTTAGTTTGGTACACAATGAACTTATAATCATGAAATCGACTCGGTCATTATATTATAGATATTAAGTTTATAATCTGATAGCACATTTGTAGAAATATTAGGTCATTGATTAAACATTAAGCTTGATAAATATTGTTTGTATATTTCGAGTCTATTTCTTTTGAATTTTTTTTTTGTCAAAATATTCTGATTATATTTAGTCTTAGAACACTTAATAAAATTTTAATTAATCATTATATCAAGATCCAAATTAAAAGCTATTTCTCAACAAACTTCACAATTAATACTTTCTCCATCTATTTTTTTTTTTTTTTAAAAAAAAACTCTTTACTGTTAGTAGAATTCGCCTTCCCAAAGTTGTAATTTAAGAATTTTCAAAATTTATCCATTTCGTACAGTAATTTATTTATTTTTTCTTAAAATAAAAGCAAATAACCAAAAGGGCACATATATAATTAATTAAACAAAATATTAATTAACTATTGGAAAAATATTAGCAACAAAACTTGTATAAAATTAGCTACTTAATTACCTTGAATTTTCATTGATGCCATTAAAAAATATTGAAGAGAAGAGAACTATATAGAAAAAATATATATATATATATATATCTGTAAATATATGATCAGTTATTAATTATAAGATTACTTGCTCAGCCAAGCAACATGAAAATTAATTAAGCTCCTTTTCCCTGTATATTATCATCTGATGGACGTACACAGTACCGGCCGGGGCAAGTAATCGTTTTGTAACAAAGTCAGTAAACATTTATTTCGAGATGGACGGTGACGATGAAGTGTCCGTACATGGCATCGCCGACCCAGACGGCGGCGACCCTTGTCGGTGGAGAAGCTCTCGCGCCAAGGCTTGAAGATCTCCGCCGCCGCCACTGCCGCTTGGTGACAACCCAAATTGACGTTGATCCATTTGGCGATGATGATGATGATGAAGATGCTGCTGCTGCTGCATGGCCCATGAAGG